CCCCAAAACCCCAAAACCCCAAAACCCCGAAGATACAAAATTGAAATATGATAAAAAAGCATGAAAGCCACGTAATTAATTGCTAATATAAATATGAGTTTGATTTTAAAGTAAAGAATAATCTAAAGATATTTTTCTAAAATAACTTTCAACACAACCAGATATTTTACTATGTCAGCTGAATCAACCAATGACCTTACTGAAATCTTTGTCACTTCAGGAGACTAACCAAAGCCAGCTACTAACCCTAACTACCTTAGACTTTACGGTCATCACTTGTGCCCATTCGTCGAGAAAGCTAGATTAGCATTGGCTGCAAGAAACGTAGTTTACCAAAACTGTGAGATAGATCTTAGCAACAAGACTGAATGGCATGTTGCTATCAATGGTGGATTTGTTCCAGTCCTTGAGTTCCCAGATGGTACAATCATCCATGAGTCAAAAGTGATTATGGAATATGCTGAAGAGGCTTACCCTGATCAAGGATACTCTACTCTACCAGACGATCCAGTTGAAAAAGCTTAACTCAGATTGGCTTCACTCATCATCGATTAAGTTCAAGCTGCTTACTATCCAATGTACATGAAGAAATTCGGATTTGATGATAATGATCTAAAAAATCTCAAAGAGAAACTACAAAAAGTTGAAGATTTGCTAGCTTAAAGACAAAATGAGTCTGGATTTGCTTGGGGAACAGAGAACCCAACATAACTTGATATCCATTTGTACCCATTAATGTCAAGACTTTAGTATATGAGAGGCTCAGCTTTTAATGAGCACATTGCTGAGAGAATTGATCCTGAAACCAACTACCCAAGAATTATTAGATTGGTAGAAGCCATTAGAAACAGAGAAGAATTCAAAAATGCTGTGACTCAAAAAATTCCACAACATAGTATCATTCAAAAACTAGTTGAATTACCAGAAGGGTAAAGATTATCACTTTCTCTTCCAGTCAAATTTGAATGATTACCTAAGAGTAAAAGGAGTTGAATTATCCACGATTAATATCGAGACAATGATTGTTCAATCAATTAAGTAATCTATGTCAAAGATTTATCTAAATTTAATTTCCAATGTTAACTCTGAATCTAAATCTTATTTGTAGGTCATGGGGTTTTGGGGTTTTGGGGTTTTGGGG